GCTCTCAACATTAGTTCTCACTCAGTGAAGCTCTTTTCAGATTTAAAATACCTTTGAGGAAATGTATTTTCAGATGCCAAACGGAAGCAGAAGGAGGTTCTTAAAGAGACAGAGACCAATTTCAAGGTGTTTAGAAGAGGAAGTGATGAGAAGATAAGTTTATTTTCTATTTAAACATAAAAACAGCATTTTAATAACAACTAAAGGTGACATAGATACTTTACTATGGTATAGTATTTAAATATATGCCTGAGAAACACATAATATTGGCCCATTCAGACTGCACAGAAACTCTAGACGTTTGTAAGAAATTTTAGTCTTTTATAAAGTTTTCACTATTTTACATCACTATTACTGTCTGATAAAAAGCTGGGTGAAAATAATGTGAAAATGTAGCTTTTGTTATTTCTTGTGTTGCTTTTTGCCATCGTCTACCTTTGGTGTCTTCCCCTCTGCAGCCAGCAGGGTGCGCAGTCGTTCTTGAGATGGAGGAGCGATGAAGATGACATACGGCTTCAGGTTGGAGGACCTCAACACTCTCAGTGACTGGTTAAACAACAAGACACACAAACAGAGTTTGGATACTAAAACAAACCTAATTTACAGCATCCTCCCTGCTGTAATGTGTGTTTTGATCAACCAGAGAGCCTCGTTACGACTCAGGGAAGGAAACCTTCACATTATGTTCTGGTTCTTTGTTTTTATCATGTCAGATAAAAACACCAGCGTTTGACAGAAACAAACGTTTACCCTGGTGTGCAGGCACAGCAAACAGATACGACCAGAGTTGACCACGTGTCGGACAGAATCGGTGCTGGTGCCGTACAGGTTTTTCTCATACTCCCCAGATTCTATGAACTTCCCTGTCGCCAGGTCCGTTTCGAAGGCAGAGCGGCTCACGAAATGGTACTCGCGTCCGTTCCGCTCGTGAAGTCTTGGGTTCCTGGTTGTGTCTGAACAAGGGAAAAGGTGGACAGGTGTGTTTCAGTCCCTAACAGGAGCTGTGATTGGTGCGTTGCTGAAGAGTGGGCTTACGTGGAACGGCAACGGCAAACTTTTCTGGTTCTGTGGACAGAAGCCTGCGCCGCAGCTCGTCGTGTCCGCTGTTGGCCGGACCAATCAGAGCGACGGGGCGTTTGCGATTAGCAGGCTGGTGATAGAGGGACATTTCCTCGTAGGTCATGTTGTCATCATAGTCTGAAGACACAGTTCAGGAGGGGACAATGAAACATCACAGGCCGACAAGTTAAACCACTTTGAGCTCTTGAGCTGCTCACTACCTGTGACTCCTAACTCCTAAAGAGGGAAACAGGATGAAAATATGACATCATCAGTAACGTTTGAAGGATCACATCTACTGATCACCACTCAGCACTTTGACTCAAACGATGTGTCATTTAAAAAGAAAAAAAACTAACAGTAAACACTATTTGTGTGAACCTCAAATCCCTCCAAGCCGTTAACGCGCTCGCTGATCCCGTCTGTGAAGACAAGTCTAATCTGACTTGTGACACAACAAGTCTGGACAAGCTGCTGTGAGAAAGACGAGGCATGTCAGCTTAGGCGTGGGCGTGATGCTGGCGGTGGTGGACGTTTGGCTGCTGTCCAGCGCCGCGGCGGGCTTTCACAGGTGGCTCAATGAGGGGCGACAGTGAGTTGAGTGTGCACAGAAACACACTCGGGTTCTCGCACCGCTAAAGACGTGACAGAAAGAAGTCTCACCTTTGTTCGGGTTCGAGTTCTTCTTCTTCTGTTTTTTACTTTTCTTTGAATTCCAGAGCTTCCCTGAACACATTGTTACAAAAAAAAAGTTGTCAGTTTAAACTTTACGTCAGCTAGCATGTTTGAGTTTGTTTAAACATTTGTTACCTTGCTGCTCTTGGTTCTTGTCGGTTATAGTTTTCTTCAGGCTCTCTCTCTGTTGCTGGAAACTTTTACCTAAAACATGCAAACAAATTTGGTACATTAAGTCCAAACAAATAAAAAAAAAACGCATTTTTAAAAGCTTGAACATTTTTTTCTTGTCACTAAACATTTAGACTTAATATAAGGAAATTACCAATATTAAAAGTAAAAAATATTTGCAGGTCTTGTGTTAGCTGTTTTTAATATATAATGATGGAAAAAGCAAAAAGGCAGCCAACTTTCCATTTCTTAGGGCTTAACCTTGTTTACTTGCACCCCCAACAGGCCTGGGTCAAAGGGCAAGCTCAAATCACGCTTGAGCGTTTGTTTTAATCTGCTGGATGCGCCAGATGGGTGGAGTCAGGTTAGTAGTGGCAGGTCTCTTTAGTTTGTTTCTGCATATTCATTTCCAAACATAAGTGGAGCTGGATTAAATATCTGACTTGTTATTGGATCACAAAAATCTGTTTGGTGTGTTTCATCTTTTGAATTTAATTTTTTTAAATATATTTAAGCATCAAAAGGTAATTTGTACAAGCTCATATATAAAGTTGCTGTACCAGTCAAAAGTATGGACACCTCTACTTTTTTAAATATATTTTTTTCTTCATTAGAAAATACTTGATGCAAATATAAGAAAGCTTTAATCCAGAAATATTTAAACAACCGTCTGCATCATTTGTAAAGTGTTGTAGACTGGTTTCCTGAACGCAGCACTAAAACACACACGTTCGCACAGAGTAACAAACTTGTGTTGTTTAACGTGCCAACAGTTAACATCTTGTTCCTGCTTGTCTTTACACGCCTACAGCAGTGAGATTTTCACTATCCTATTAGGTTCACTGCCAGCCACCTGTGCGACATTGATCTCATAAGCAGAGTCACATTTTTGTGTAAACATACACCAAATGAATGAACGAATAAATAAATAAATAAATAATACCACTAAAAATGCAAATATGATGCTAAATTCCCTCAATGTTTCTGGTCATGCTTCACTGACAGAGGATAAAACACAACTTTAATTTCTTCTAATTTGTTTCGTCAATCAGTTTATTTTATACTGAGCCCGCGGGGGGACATGGGGGATTTTTTTTCTTTTTGCGTTAACTATAACCCTGGTGACTACAGCTTGAAGCTCATCAAGAGAATGCCAAGAGTGTGTGAAGTAGTAATCAAAGCAAAAGGTGGCTACTTTGAAGAACCTAGAATATAAAACATATTTTCAGTTGTTTCACATTTTATTGTTAAATATATAATTCCACATGTGTTAATTCATAGTTTTGATGCTTTCAATGTGAATCTACAATTTTCATAGTCATGAAAAGAAAGAAAACTCTTTGAATGAGGTGTGTCCAAACAGTTGGTCTGTACTGTACATATTTCACAATGACACGGCTAAATAATCAGCAGAAAAAAGAAATGAAGTTTGTGTTTAGTAGATTATTTCTTTGATGTAACAATAAATATTACATCGGGCAGCTGGTTGGCAGCACCTGGAGGTACCAGAAGCTCAAAACAAGTGTCAATAACAGCAAAATAATCTGTTTGGCAGAGAAGATTCAGCTAATTTTTCATGTTTTAAACCAACATACTCAGCTCTGCTCATCCCACATACGCATGTTCCTTACAAATGTGACACCATTTCCAACGTTATAAGATTTATTACCAAGAAGCAACGCTACAACAACGAAATAATCAAATTTCCTTACTTTTTGTGCTGTTTATTTATTATATTTTTAATGAACATGTTTTTTACTCTGTCACTATGAGGTATTGTATGAAAAATTTTGAGGGAACAAATGAATTTATTCCATTTTAGAATTAGACTGTAACATCATGTGATAAAAAGTGGCACACTGAATTCTTTCCAGAGACACTGCAGAGCAATAAATTACATTTTGATGTTCTGCTCTGGTCTCATGTCTACCTGGGATGAGTCCAGCCAGAGGCTGGTTGTCCTCGTCTCCATCCCTGTAGGCCTGCCACCAGTTTGGGTCATCCTGGCTGATGACGTGCAGAATGTCTCCCTTCTGGAAGGACAAACCAAGCTCCCGACACGGCACGAAGGGGTCGTCAGAGGGGTCGTAGTCAAAGTACGCTCGTACGTGCGTCTGAGGAGTGGGTTTACAACGGGTTTGCTGTTAAACAGGATTTCTCGCGCACACACTCGGCTGTCAGAGACTTACCACAGTGTGTCTGTGAGGGGCAGGTTTAATCTGACAGCTTGGGATGAGGAGGAAAGTCAGAGTCCCGTGCATTTCTTGCTGTGAAAAAAAAAAATCAACAACTGAAACACATCGTAAATTACATTCTTATCAAAATGTAAAGACTCCAGGGGATTCTGATGTTATCAGTCCATGAAATGGACGTTATTAGGCGTTATCAGTCCCATACAATGGCTTCAGGGGGTCCCTACTGTGCCTTCTAGGCTTCAGACTGTCCCGACAGTGCCCCCTAGTGGGTTAATATATCAATGACAATGACTGTGTAAATAACCAAAACATAATGTAATAAACGTTTTGTTTCCGTGTCCATGTCAGTCTCGAGCCCTGGTCTCCCACTCTCTGGTCCAACACCCTACCCATTGCCCTATTGGAAGTCTACAATATACAACCGTTGGAGGGCGGTGTCTTTAGCGCTAACCATGTCATTTGCTCTAAAGTTAACCTTAGTGGCTTTAAGCCTCATATTAACCAGCTGACAATCAGAAGCCATTCTATGGGACAGGGAACCTGCTAACCGGCACAGGCGGGACCTTCTGAAACCATTGTATGGGACTGATAACGCCTAATAACGTCCATTTCATGGATGATAACATCCGAAGCGGGTGAACACTTTTTCAAATAATAAAATCCCCACCAGCAAGTCGTGGACCTCGTTGATGTGCTTTCCACGGATGGGAATCCCGTTGATCTCCAGGATCTCGTCTCCTTCGCTGAGGAGGCCGCTGCGCTCTGCTGCGCCACCTTTCACCACACGGCTCACCACCACGCTGTCCACATCATTACGCACCGTTGCACCCTGGGAAACAGAAATACTTCAAATGCTTGCACAAAAACAAGCAACATACATCCAAACAAATAACACTTTCTAATAAGCTTGAACAAACACAACAATTTAACTGCTAGAAGAGAATAATTTTATAAAAGACACATTAACGACACCAAATAATATCTCACCAGAGGAGTGTCTTTGGCCTTCTCCAGCCGCACTAATTTAACCGTCTCTCCTAAATACTGAGTCATGTTTTCCTCTGCCATTTCCTGCACCGCCACGCTGTCGTGAGCCTGCATGAGCGCCTGTCACATGAACAGACAGAGAAAATACCTACATGAATACATATTCAGAAAGTTACAAACACATGATGGACAGAAACAGGGCATGATGCCCTTTAAACACTAAACTTGTAGAAGTTCTTCCAGATGTGTGCCTTCAACCAGAAGCCGACTCACCCCTTGTCTTTGTAACCAGACAGCCCACTTCCCAGGCCTGAAGATTGCTTCTTCGTTTTATTTGACATGGCAAGAGTTTTTTAATAAACATTAGTCCAAATTAGTTTCTTTTGTCTGGCAGCAAAGGGACACAGAGAGCAGACAGGCTGAGCTTCAGCGTCCTCTCAATCTGTCTTAATCTGCCCCTTCATTTAGGAGTCAAGACCGTCCACCACACATCATTTAACACCTTTGGGTTCCCTTCTTTACAGGACACTGTGTTCTATGAAATAATAAGAGGGACAAAAGTGGACTGGAGGGGGCATCGTAGTGAAGGAAATTTTGTAAATGATTAATTGAATGTTAGATGCAGTTTTCTATTTTATAATTTCGGATCATTTCAGCCTGTAAGGTTAAAGCAGACAAAGAGTTGGTGTGTCTTATCATGTGTTCTTTCTTTAGTCTAAACTAAAATGAGTTACGCTCTAGTCTTTGTGCTAGCGCTGACGCTATATTGTCTTATATGTATTAGCTCAGAGCTAGCGCGACAAACAAGCTAAACTGAGGTTCTCCATCCATATTTTCAGTTGCAGCTGAGTCATTTTTGTGTTCCCCTCTCTGTCATGTGGATGGAGGACCTCAGTGATGAGAGGAGAATGTGTAGCGCTGAGCTAATACATATATATGGTGATAGCATCAGCGCTAGTGCGAAGGCTAACAGGCTAAGCTGAGGTTGTTCTTCCATGAAGCAGCTCTGTTGTCCTCCATCCATATTTTCAGTTCCAGGCTGAGTCATTTCTACCTTCTCCTCTCTGTCAACGCTCTCTGGTTTCATTTAAAAGAGTCGATCATCAGATATTGTCCAAGATTAACCTTCAGGGTGGATATAGCTCGCTAGCAGCCTCGCACCGAGGACCTATCCACGTCATCATTTACCCAGAATGCTTTGTGTGGAAATAAAATGGCCCCGTCCGTGTTAAAATATATTTTTAAACTTTTAGTTTAAAAATGATAAAAACTAAACAGCCTACAGTGTTTTTACAGTCTAATGTTACAACTAATCATGGATCCCTTTAAGAAGAAATCCAGCTGATTCCTGTTTATTTGGACATTAACTATTTTGAACGACACATATTTTTCCTACAGTAGTTTCTCACATGCCTCCATTAGTTTTGTCTGTAAAGCTGTTTACTTGGAAAAAATAAACATAGTTGCTTCTGTGAAACTTCTGCCTCCTGCAGAGGAGCTGACATAATCTGTTCCACTTTCTGTGCCACAAAGACACACTCACACCTCAGACTGACCTTAGTGGTCCTGACTCAGTCTATTGGACATATGATGCTTTTAAGTTCTTCAATTGGGGTCTAAATAAAGTTGAACTGCAATGCTTTGGTCTGAATTCCTCCTGATTGTAAATCTATAAGCCCCGCCCCTTTTTTGATGTATGTCTCAGGTCAACTAGTTTTAAGGCTGTCTCTTTAAATCAAAACAAGGCAATTAACACCCCGCCTCCCTCCAGCTTCCAGAACAGTCCATTCCAGTTTGATAGAGGGGTTTACGACTATATAGCAGCGCAGAAACTTTTTATTTACAAATTAAAAGATGTGAAAAAGGGAAGATTTGTCCATCTAGACTTATATGTTGGAGCCAGAGTCTGACCCATAACCAGAGGAGAATGAAGACCACCAAATTGTAGTTGGTAAGTCCAGACCTTATTTGGTAGTTTTGTAGCAAATTCTTGTTCAGAAAACGTCATAAAAAATAAAGAAAATATGACCCAAACAAAATATAAAGATATCTACGCAGCACCAGGAGAGATTAGAGTAAAATTTTCTGCACCCCTAGAGACTCCAAGTACACAACAAAATGTATTTAATGGCTAAAAAAAGAGGATTTCATATAAAATGTCGCCTTTAAGTGTATTACTTCAAATTTAAAGGTATAAATGACAGATTTCCCACTACAGTGAATTAAAGTTCCTCAAAATGACCTTTTCCCAGCACTACTCTTTAAAGGCCCTGTCACACTACACAACTTATGGCAACTTAAGAACATTTTAAAGACGTCTACGTTGAAGACGGAATTGAAAAAATCAACAGGAAGCTTCTTTTCGGAATGTACATAATGTAATTTGAACAAATTGATCAAATATATAAATTTTATTATCAATTTAGACATAAAAAATGTGTCATAAGTTGCCATAAGTTGTCTAGTGTGACGGGGCCTTAAACAACTGTGACTTGCGTTCATGTGTGACACAATGGAAGCCGACTGTGGGAATATTCAGAAACAGGTTACAGCCACTCTGAACCTCAGGCACGTCCTGACGAGTACACACAAAAACAAGCAAATCCAGTCTTTGGGCTTTTACATCACAAAATTGACAACACTGGAGTTGTTTGAAACTGAAGCTGAAGCTCTAAAGAAAATCAAATTATAAAGGTTTGCACATGAAATACATATTATACAATCAGCTGCAATAATCACATCAGTTGTGCATTCTTTTAGTAAGAAAAATGAGCAAATAGAACAATTTCATTTACAGATTCTGCCCTTTCTGAGACCACAGCTTTAAATGAGCCCTTCGAGTGAATGATAAACTAACACTGATTAAAGAATTTGTTCTGGAAAACATTTATCTTCTGTAAGTGTCCCAGAGCGTGTTTTATCAGGTACGTTCCAGGGCATCTGAAAGAATGTTTCCAGCTGATTTTCAGGCATCGAGTCAGTAATATGCAAAACCTTGACCTGTGACTTCCCCGTGGAGGGTGCAAGAAAAACAATTAGCCTTTCCGAGGCACCCGTGTATAACATTAATTATATTTCCAGCAGTTTAATTATTAGAATGTGAGCTAAATAAAACGAGTCGGCCTGCAAGGCTCTGCATGCTTGCAGCCTTATCATACTGTGGGTGAAGAAAATGTTGCGTGAGGAAAGCTGAACTCTGACCTGAAGATGAGGGTTGGTGAGCAGCACACTGAGCTCCAAACCCTCCGTTTGTTGACTCGACTGAAGAATCCTCTGAACCTAAACAGACAAACATCACGTTGAGATGAGTTTGACACTGAAACCTCTAAAACAGCACGACGGAGGAACTCAAAGTATCAGTTCACAATATTAATCTGACTCTACTAAATCCTGCTGTCAATCATTTAAGCTTTGAGTCCATAAAATGAAAGTTAGGAATCAATGCTTCACAAATTAGTTTAAATTTTCATAAATAAGTTACATTTAAAAGCAAAATATTACAAGATTTTTGATTTTTACTCCTTGTGCTTGTGTTGACTTGAATTTTGATATGGTCCATGTTTTATTTGAAGGTAAATTACTGCAAACAAAATACAGAGAAATTTATTGGTAACTACTAATCATTTAATTAAAAAATAAATGATGATGACGATGCTTGTTTAAAAAAGTTTTGTTGCAAGAATCAAGTTGTGGAGTCACAGATTTATTAAAGGGATCCATGATTAGTTGTAACATTAGACTTTATTTGATAAACATAAATTTTAACTGTAAAATAAAGACTGTAAAAATACTGTAGGCTGTTTCGTTTTGAAAATTTTTATAAATATATTTTAACACGGACGGAGCCATTTTATTTCCACACAAAGCATTCTGGGTAAATGATGACGTGGATAGGTCCTCGGTGCGAGGCTGCTAGCGAGCTATATCCACCCTGAAGGTTAATCTTGGACAATATCTGATGATCGACTCTTTTAAATGAAACCAGAGAGCGTTGACAGAGAGGAGAAGGTAGAAATGACTCAGCCTGGAACTGAAAATATGGATGGAGAACCTCAGTTTAGCTTGTTTGTCGCGCTAGCTCTGAGCTAATACATATAAGGCAACATAGTGTCGGCGCTAGCGCAAAGACTAACAGTCTAATCTGAGGTTGTTCTTCCATGAAGCAGCTCTGTTGTCCTCCATCCATATTTTCAGTTCCAGGCTGAGTCATTTCTACCTTCTCCTCTCTGTCAACGCTCTCTGGTTTCATTTAAAAGAGTCGATCATCAGATATTGTCCAAGATTAACCTTCAGGGTGGATATAGCTCGCTAGCAGCCTCGCACCGAGGACCTATCCACGTCATCATTTACCCAGAATGCTTTGTGTGGAAATAAAAATGGCTCCGTCCGTGTAATATATATATTTTTAAACTTTTAGCTTAAAATGATAAAAACTAAACAGCCTACATTATTTTAACAGTCTTTATTTTACAGATAAAATATATGTTTATTAAATAAAGTCTAATGTTATAACTAATCAGGGATCCCTTTAAAACATTTGCACGACCGTCACACATTGTTCACTTGGCTCAAATAATTCACAGAATTTCAACATTCCTGTTGGACTCAATATTTTATTAAACCCAAAGGAAAAAGGGACTCAGTGCTAGCTTATAATTTTGTGTGTGTTTCTACATACCATAAATGCCTTGCTCAAAGGCCAAAGCTACTCATACTGAAGCCAGTTCGCTCTATTTTTCTCCTCTCCTCTTTGCCGTTTGATTCTGTTTTCAGTGTTTTGTTTCTTGTGTTGTCAGCAGGCGTTCTTCCTTCTGCACTTCTGCCTGTTCATCTCTTGGTCAGGGCTTAGTTCATCCATTACTTATCAAAGCTCTCACTAACAAGGTGATGCACCCCCCCTCCCCTCCCCCCAGCAGCGCTGCACCTCAGCCTGTGCTGCTGTAAGCTCCTGCAGTTTCTTTTTCTGGCCTTCCTCCTGCAGCGTGCTGCGCTGCTAAGCCAGCGCAGAGGGCTGCTGGGAGATTAGTTTACACAATGGTCAGCGCGAGTGCCATTTAGCGTAAACTCTGTGTATCTGCTGTGTGAGTGTATGACGAGGTGCAGAAACACAATGTGCTGTGTGTGTGTGTGAGACAGAAAACACATAATCAGATCTTTAGCATCAAATCAATGCACTCGTGACTGTGAATAGTGATTCTGCTGCTCCGCTGCCTGCAGCCGTGAAACTGCAAAACAGCTCATGTCTCGTGGTGAAAACAGTGTTAACTTTAGCCATAAGTCTCCTGATGCATCTCAGTAATCCAGGTAAAAAAACAAAAAGAAAAAAAATTGTATATACAATATACACTACACAATTTTTTTCTTTTTGTTTTTTTTTTTTATCCATAAGCTAAAAATCACACTGCAGCTACACTCAGAAGAAGTCTACACTAATCCTAATTTGGTTTGTTATTAGTGTGAAGAAGCTTCTACGTCAGTGGCTCCCAAACTTTTTATCTTCTGACCCACAAAATATTCATGGCAAAAACTTGTGACCACAAATATTACTGGTCTGAGTACACAAACTTTGTTAATAACCCTAAAAACACAGGCTTT